ATCTGCTCTTCTGAATTCTAAATAAATTATGTTCAAATTGGTGGATAAAGAATTCTCGACATGGTGAAATGTTTCTAATTTGTGTAAAATATAAGGAGCCTGATACTCAACAATTTATATATGAAATTAAAAAGAAACTTAGGAATAAGTAAATGAGAAAAACACACAAAATGTTGAACACTAACTCAGTTGGAAAGGAGGGATTGAAGTAGTGTAGGGACAGATGGATGGATAAGGTTTTAATGATACAATCTAGGTTTATTGAACGTGTGCTTTATGAAGATTCTTGAGGCAAATAATGAGAAGACAGAAGAGAAGTTATACAAGCTGTATCCTATTTATAAGACACTTATAGTCTTTTCAGGAGCTAAGGGAACAAGTCAGTATTTGTGCATATGTCAAATCTCACATATTCATATGTCAAGCTGCTCCATATAGATTTTATATATTCTGAGGAATCAAATATGGACTGCATGTTTTGAAATCAAGGAGAGTTTTATGGGAGGCTCACATTAAATTTATTGCTGTTTTCTTCTCACTTTTTGATCTATAATTAATTTTAGAAATCCACAAAGGAAACTTTTTCATTTTGGACTTTTCAACAAGAAAAAACAAAACAGAAAAATAATTTCTTATTAATAACAAAAGCAAGTTTCTATTCAAATTATTCTACACATAGAACAAAGTTTAAGCCATTGATTTTAAATGCTCAGTCATTTTAATGGTAATAAAAATACTTTTCAATCTCTATCTTACATTTCACATTCAAAATAAGCTTGAAAGTTCTTGTTTGATATTTGTTTCATTAACAATTATGCATTGACATAATAAGTCATAATGTCCTTGATAATGTTACTTTACAATAAAATTAATGATAATGACATGTACTAGTTTAAGTCAAATACTAGTTGAGCAAATAAAATTTGTCTAGTCTTTTTTCACCATTCATGGAAGACAACATGTCACATCATGAATAAATGACCCCAAATTCCTCTATTGAGAAGTTTAAATAATATATTTTATAACTCTTGCTTGTTGTAGTTCTTAATGTTTTCCCTGAGTAACAATTTATGCTAAGTAGTACTCAAAAATACTCTGAATTTCCTAAGAGAAATTAGGTTACACAAATCACCATATGTGAGTATATTATTAAGATTTAAGGGCATTCACTTATAATAACAGCAAACTATGTTTCCCTTAAGAAAAGTATAAAATACTTACTTCTGAGGACTCAGGTGAATGTGAAGTTCACAATCATGGTAACTGTGCAGGAGCCCTGGTACATTGTGGTTAGTGTTGGACTTGTAACTGCTAGATCAGCAGTTTGAAACCACTAGCCACTCTGAAGGAGAAAGATGGGGCTTCCTACTCCTTTAAACAGTTACAATCTTGAATATGCAAATACAGTTCTACCCTGTCCTGTAAGGTCACTCTGAATTAACATCAATTTGATGGCAGTGAGATTGGGTTTTTGGTTTCCCCAATATTATAATAAGGACTATTATTTAGAGTTCTGCTCTTACTTCAAAGCACCAGAACAAAACATCTACAGTTTTTCTTTAGTCATAGAATCTTAAACTTTTTTTAAAGGTTTACCTGTTTTATAAGTTTTTCTGACTGAAAACAAAAACCTTGCCCTATAGGGCTTCCTAGGGTGTCATTTTTTTAAAAACAATCCATCATTTAGTTATATTAAGCACACTTGTACATATGCTACCATCAACATTTCCAAAACATTTTCGTTCTACTCGAGCCCTTGGTATCAGCTCCTGAGGGAGGGTGTCATCTTGATGGAAACAGACCACCAGGTACATTTTCCTGTGAGTACTTAACCACTGTACCACTCAGGCTCCAGGGTAACCAGCTCTCCATTTGTGCTCAATGAATGAATAGATAATAGTTCCTCCCATCATTGGACAATTCTTACTCTTTCTTCCAGAGTTAGACATAGCCATAGGATTTAGCCCACGTATTCCCGTTTGATGTCAGGGTTGCTGAGGTTGCGGGGGGAAAAGGCAGGTGCAGGCTTGGAAAGATGATGGAGTTTTTCCCTCTCTCTTTTCAATCTCTGTCTCCTTTGTTTGTGGGACTCAGTGTACCCTTTTGTGTTGAGTTCCTGAGCAACCACACCCTTGCTAACTTGATAAGCGAACTCTGGATCTACAGCCCAGGTCACTGGGCCCTCTTCTGTTTGGCAGTGTCATTGAAGTTTGAGGGAATGAATGAAGACCTGCCACATTCTCAAATAGTTAAAGGTCCGAATTCTCTCCTCAAAAGTTTGTGAAGAGTTGTTGTATAACATGGAAATCATTTACCAATGACATCAAGCCACAGTGTCAGCCATAGAGCTTTTCAAATCTTAAACTTTAAGATAAATTCTCAAAGGACTCAAGTGTTACCTAGACAAAAATATGAACAATGACAAATTTTGAACTTCGAAAATCATTACAGTTTATAATCTAATCACAGAGAAATAATGCCAAATTCCAAACCTTGCTGCAAACACTATAGATTCTACAGCATTCCCAAGGCCTGTTTACATTCAATAGCTTTAGAACTAGTGGGTACACATTTTAACTTTAAGTTTTTAGTGACACGGTTTCTAACAATCAGCCATTTTGATGAGCAATATGAGGAGAAAAGTGGAGTGTAATTAGCTTAGCTATTCTCAGAGCCCTAGGTAATCCCTTCCCCTTTTATATTCATATTATTTAACAATTAAAAAAAATCAAATCCCCAGATCTCAACAGACATTTAAACTTCCTAATCAGATATATCCCAATTATGCATAAAGAATAGAAAAAGTTTCAACATATTTTCCACTATTATCAAATCTGAATATTTTGCTATATATATTTCATTGACATACATATTTATATCAAACAATGCATTAAAAATAAATTGAAGCCTTAAGAGCCATCTCCCATAAACTATTCCCCTCACCAAGGCTAACTACTATCCTTAATCCTGTTTATCATTTCTATATGTGTTTCTGTATTAATTAAGATTTTACTAATAGAAATTTGCTGTTTAGTGCCTTGCTTTAAACTTTATGTAAATACCATGGTAATGTATATGCCATTTCTTTTTAAATGAAATTTATATTATTAGGATTTAACAATGTTTATATATTTAATTTTGGTTTGTCATTTTAACTATTTGCATATTTTCCAGATTATGAGGACAGCACAATGTATTTTGCTACTGATAGGCCTTTATTAATTCAGATGATTCACATTACAATTATTGGAAGCAGTGTTACTTTCTTAGTAAGCTTCACTGAAGAAACATAAACATGCACAGGCATGCACACACACACATATATTAAGAAGGTTCAAAAGTTTGTAGAGAAATTAACTATCTTTTAATTTCATTTTTCCTCAAATTTTTTGAAACCCCTCGTTTGTGTATATGCATATATATGGAGAAAGAGAGAAACTAGAGAGAAAGACACTTCAAGTAATTGTAGAGAGTTGGCAACTCCAAGATCTGGCCAGGGGACAGACTGGATATATACTATGGCTTTCATCTCAAATTTTATTAAGTCAGACAATGAGAAGAGTGAAAAGCAAAAGTGTCTTGGCAAAATATCCATTTATATTCTGGAGGCATAACTTAGGAAACTTAGGCACATAACTTAGGCACCTTAGGAAAACTTCGGCTTTGCTCCTAAAGCCTTCAGCTGATTGACTGAGGCTCAATGAGATTAGAGAAAAATCACCACCATTGAGTCGATACCGACTCACAGACACACTATAGTACAGGATAGAACTAGCCTTATGAGTTTTCAAGACTAACACTTTTTTTTTTTTCAGTTTTTATTTTTTTTAACATTTTATTAGGGGCTCATACAACTGTTATCCCACTCCATACACACATCAATTGTGTAAAGCGCATTTGTACATAGTTTCCCAAAACATTTTCTCTCCATCTAAACCCCCGACATTAGGTCTTCATTTTTCCCCTCCCTCCCTGATCCCCCCTCCCGCATGAGCCCTTGATAGTTTATAAATTGGTATTTTGTCATTTCTTGCCCTGTTCGACGTCTCCCTTCAAGCCCCTCCTTTCTCCCACAGAGTGTCTGGTGGTTTTGAATTACTGGAGTTGGGATTAGTAGCCTAATGCATAATCACTATGGCACTAGGTAATTGATTTTACCTGATGCCACTGATTTAATGACACAAAATTACTTTATAAAAACAACTAATGTTTTACAAAACAACTGACCACCATAGACAACCAAAGTTGACCCATAAAATTAAACATCATAGTAACGAAGAATCTGATTAGAAGTAGAATTGATAGGTTGAAGGATAGGAGCATATTCAACTTTACCAGAAACCTCGAATATCCTCTCCTAAATGTTATTAGTTGCAATTCATTAATTTCCAGCTTATACTGACCTCAAGTGTAACTGAATGAAACATTGCTCAACCCTGCACCATCTTCATTATATTTGGTATGTTATAGTTCATTGTGTCATTCCATCTAATTGAGGGTTTCTCTCACCACCCCTGGCCTTCCACTTTATGAAACATTTTGTCCTTCTCCCATGATTGATTAGTCCTTCCTGGTGATGGAGCTACACCATCAGTATTTCAAATATTAGCATAGTTGTCGCTGGTGGACAGGTTGTTGTTGAACTTCTAGACTAAGATAGAGTAAGAAGAAAGGACTATGTTTTACTTCTGAAAATTAACTAATGTAAGCTTTAAGGATTACACTTTTGCTTATGTGCAAAATAATTTCATTTTTTCCAAGTCTGTTCCTGATTGTTTTTGGCAGGGTTTTTTGTTGTGCTATTTTTTTCTTTTCATTTTCTCCCAATTTGGTGAATTTGAAAATATATCTTATATTAGTTTAAAGTTATAGTTCCTTGACTATTGGTAAGAGTAAACATATTTACATATTATAATTGATTATTTGAATTTCCTCCTTCATGAAATATATTTTTATATCCTTGTCCATTATTCTATTAAATATTTTGTGCTTTCTGACAGGAACAGAACAGGGGCCTCTGCCCTACCAAGAATGAGCAAAGGACCCTGTGAAACAAGTTATGGAAAAAGGACTTTGTGGAAAGTGGCTTGGAAAACACCTTAACCTTGATGCCAGGCCCTAGTGAAAATCCTGATGCCAGACTGTGCTCACAGAAAATCCTGAAACATTCTGAGAAATTCTGATGCAGGACTGTACTTGGAGATAATTCTGCGACATGCTGACCCAGAGCAGCAGCTCAGATAAAACTGAAAGAAATAATTCATGAGAGCCAAGAACAGACTGATTAAGTAATTAGAAAGTTGCTTGACCCTCTGCAGAGTGGCAACCCTCTCACAATTTGAAGTGCCATATAAGAACTAGACGCGTCCCCCTAGACAACTTCCCCTCTCACCTCGAGAGGGGCACCCAGTTGACTCCCCGAGTGAAATGTATCTTATCTATGCTTTAGGGGCCCTTCTCACTTCCAGAGAGGGTCCTGCTTCATTCCTTTTGAAGTGATTCTATGCTTTAATAAAACTGTGGCTAACCTCTTTGCTGCTGTGTGCATGTGCATGAGCGTGGCTTATCTCTGGACACTAACAAACCAAACAGGTTTGGAGCTTGCTGGGTCCCCTGTGGGTAACAACCTGGTAGCCAAACTTCACACTTTCCTTACTGACATGTAAAACTTCTTTATATACACTGGATCCTAGTCCTTTGTTGATAATCTGTTTTTAAATGTTTTTCTTAATCTGTTGCTATGTTAAAACTTCACATACAAAAACATTGTTGTGAATAAATGAGAGTTGAGAGAGCAGATCATAGTTTTACATTCAACAATTCATACACATTCTTATTCACCTCCTCCATTCCATTCCTCTCAATGTACCATCCCTTATCCTACTTCCTGTGCCTCGTGTTTTAATTCCTCTTTATTTCCTAACCCTCTGAACTTTGTCCCTTGGTAAATGCTACCCTTTTAGTCTTAAGTGATTAATTATTCTAATGTGGAGGTGAATTCAATTCCAGATCTTAAGGGTAAGGAATCCCATATGTCTCCAGCCAACCAGTAAGCCTGGTCTGTTTTACGATTTTCAGTTCTGTTTCATGTTTTCTGGATATACTATCCAGGATGTACTAATTTGATCCCTAGTGGTAATTGGCCACAATCTAGTACTTCTTGGGTCAGGGTAGTGTATATCAATGTTTGCACGGTACATTGGATTAATTCCTTGTATCTTTTTATTTTCAATCACTTCTTTCTTCTGGACTGCTAGATACCAATAGTTTCAACTTAGATGGCTGCTTAAAAGCTTTTGAGACCCCAGTCACCACTCAGCAAAGAAGGATTTAGAACATAGATTTTGCAAGCTATGTTATCTTAATTGACATTGGTGTTCCCCAAGACTATGGTTCAGATCACCCCGGCTTCACTCAAGCTGTTTGTTTATGTCTAAGAAGTGCTCATAATTTTGTCACCTGTATGCTCCACCACACTCATGATAAATTGCAGTAAAAGTAAATAGGTATATACAAATATCTTCCATCAGATATACATGTATCTGTGGGTAAATGCCCATTCTTTCACTCTCAGCTATTATCTATTCTTAGATCCTTACTGTTGCAAGATTGTGTATATAATCAGATTTGCCTCTGTTGCCTTTAACTCTTCCAAACCTTAGAGTGTCTTTCTGTTCCTCAGTATTTTTGGCCAAGTTCCCTCTTACTATATATTGCCTTCCCCTTCATGCAAGTTAACACTTGTCTGCCCATTAGCCTGCAATTTCATTTCCTCCCTTTCCCCTCCTTTTTTCTGTAAAAACCTATTCTTGACTTCTTATAATAGTGGTGTCATATAATATTAGTTCTTTTGTGCTTGACTAATTTCACTCAGACTAATTCATGTTGTAAGGTGTTTCACAGATTTATCATTACTCTTTAATGTTGCATGGTATTCCGTTGTGTTTTAAGGTAAAAACTCAGTGTCATCCAGTAGATTCCAACTCATAGAGACTCTATGAGACAGGGTAGCACTGCCATTTTAGATCTCTAAGACGTTAAATCTCTACAGGAGTAGACAACCTCTTCTTTATCCGATGGAGCAGCTGGTGGGTTCAAACAGTGGACCTTGTGATTAACAGCTCAGTGCTACAACAGGGCTTGTTTGTGTGTATGTACCAAAATGTATTTACCCATTCTTCTACTGCTAAGTATTTAAGTTGTTTCCGTCGTTTTGATATTGTGAATAGTGTCATGAAGAACATGGGTATGGCTATTATTTCTATAGGATATAACCAAGTAAAGGAATTGTTGGGTCATATAGTATTCCTAGTCTGACTATTTGGAGGAAGCACCATGTCACTTTTATTTTTAAATTAAAAGATCATTTTATTGGAGGCTTTTACAGCTCTTATAAAAAAACCACACATCAATTGTATCAAGCATATTTGTACATATGTTGCCATTATTATTTTCTAAATATTTGCACTCTATTTGAGCCCTTGGTATCAGCTCCTCTTTCATCCCTCCCTTCCTTTTTCCCACCCTCGTGACCCCTTGATAAATTATAAATTATTATTATTTACACATCTTACACCTACCGCTGTCTCGCTTCACCCACAGTTTCTGTTATTTGTACCCCAGCACCAGGGAGGTGGGGATAGGACACACGGAATCCAGGAACAGGAATGGGAGTAGTGATACCAGGGTAGGAGGAAGGGGGGGAGAGGACAGGAGGAAGGGGAAACCGATCACAATGATCCACACGTAGGCACTTTCTAAGGTAGTTTCACTGTTCTGTAGTCCCATCAGCAATATATAACATCCATTCTCCCCAGTGCCCCTCAGTAGCTTTTGCTATTATCTATTAATCTGAACTTTGCTAATTATGCTGGGGTGAAGTGATATCTGGTTGTTTTGATTTACATGTCTTGAATGGCAAATGATCATAAGCATTTCTTCATGTTTGTTGACTACATGAATGTCTCTTTTGGTGAAGTGTCTATTAATATCCTCTGCTTAATTTATAATTGAATTATTTTTGTTTTTCTTGTTGAGGTGTTGACATTTTCTGTAAATTTTAGAGATTAGTTCTTCATCTGATATGTCACTGCCCACATTTTTATACAGTTGTGGTTTCTTTATATACTCTTTTCATAAAAATATAAAGATGCATGTAAGTGTCTAATTTTTAGGGTGTCATAGACATTTACTTTATCTTCTACAGCTGTGTATTTTTCATTATGTTTGATAATGTGTTTATACCATGTTTTAAGGTCCTTAGATTGCTCCCTGTTTTTTCATTGAAGATCTTTATAGTTCTAGATTTTACCTTTAGGCCATTTTTAATGACATTGTTCCTTTTTTAATGCAGTAAAATAAAGTTTGAACTTTCTTTCTTGTTTAGAACATTTTTCCCTTCCTTAAGACTAGAAAGATATTTTTCTACATATGTTTAATCTCTTTATATATAGGTCTTTCAGCTATCTATAATTTTACTCTGTAGTTTGATATGTTTCCATTGCTCATATACAAATCCATGTTGCAACAGAAAAAAATATTAAATATGTCCATGAAAGGCAAAATATAAACTTGATTATTTCACATCTGAATATAGAGACTATTTCAAGAACAGATTTGACACATTGAATATTCTGACCAAAGACCTGAGGTGTGGTTGAATGATATCAGGAACATCATCTATTAATAACAAAAAAGGACTTTTAAAAGACAAGAAAGGAAAAGCCAAAATGGATGTCAGAAAAGTTGTTCATGAAAGTAGAGTAGCTAAAAATGAAGAAATGATGAAGTAATAGAATTGAAGAGAACAATTAAAAGGGCAGCTCAAAAGACCAACTAAAGTATCAGAGTGGAATGTGTACAGACTTGGAGTTTGAAAAACAAGAGAGACGAACAAGCCCACTATTTCTCAAGCTGAAAGAGCAGAAGAAAAAATTCAAGCTGTGAGTTGTAATATTGAAGTATTCCAGGGGTAAATTGTTGAATGCTGCAGGAGATATCAAAAGAAAGAATACACAGTCATGGCATCAAAAAGGATTTGTCAATATTCAACTATAATCAAGAACTCATGATATTGAAGGGGAACGTCGGAACTGCACTGAAGTCATTCGCCAAAATAAAAAAAAACCTTCTAGGAATTTATGGAATACCAATTGAAATATTTCAATATACTGAGGTAGGGCTGTGATTATGCACTCATCTATACCATGAATATTAGAAGACAGCTATGTGACCAACTGATAGAAAAAAATTGTATTTGTGCCCATTCCAAAGAAAGGAATGTGGAAATTATTAAACTAACATTAATACCACGCATAAGGAAATTTTTCTGAAGATAACTTTAAAGTGGAGCAGCAGTACGTAGAAAAGGAGCAGCCAGAAATTTAACTTATAGAACCCTTCAGCATCACACTTGAAGTTTAAATTTTTCTTTCATTATTTCAGATTGAGAAATGTCAAGTGTTCTTCCTTTTCAGTTTTCTAACTCATTACACAATACATATACTTTACTTTGTCTTTTCTATCCAGCCTTTGAAATTTTCATCACCATTTCTTCCTTCCTATTTAAGAATTTTTCTCAGCTACGTGGGCAACTGCCCCTCCCTCAGACGAATTTACTTTAGAGGACAGCACTGAAGCTGCAGCTAGGGGAGAGAGACATGTCTGATCAGAGCACACAGGAGCAAATGAAGGGGGAAGAAGATTGAGTGGAGCACATCCTGACCCACCAGGCCTGGAGGACAATATCGCTGCTCTGAACAGCCAATGCACAGAGTGGACCATATAGCTGATCCCACTAGGATACACGACGTCCCTCATTGACCCATGGCCCTATGAGAGGCAACACTAGAGACTCAGTGTCAGGATTGGCCCGGTCTGACCCTGCGACACCAAGGCAAATCACTGAAGGCATGCAGCAGAACAACAGGGGGAGCAGAGCAGGGAGCTCCCGAGGGAGTTCAAAGGATAGATTTGGGGACCCCATCGGACTTGACTTGAGAACACGCCTAGAGGTCAAAAATCAGACCTTGATCTATTTACAGGTTTTTCTTTCTTTTTTAATTTTGTTTTCTTTTTTTAAAAGTAATGTATTCTTTTCTGAGTCAGCGGTTTTCTTTTTTGTTGTCATCGGTGTGCTCTCTTTTGTCGCTTTGTCTTGCTATGCCTTGTTTTTTGGTGCACATTATCTCTGCAGATCTATCTAAATAAGAAAGGTTGGATGAATAATCTGGAGGAGAAAACAACGGGACCGATGGTTCTGGGGGGACATGGGAGAGGGGGAGGTGGGGAAAGGAGGTGGTGTTGACCAACCCAGGGACAAGGGAACAATAAGTGACCCAAAATTAGTGGTAAGGAGAGTGTGAGAGGCTTGGTAGGTATTCAGCAAGGACAATGTAACCGAGAGAAATTACTGAAACCCAAATGAAGGCTGAGCATGATGTAGGGAGAAGAGGAAAGTAAAAGGAAATAGAGGAAATAACTAGGAGGCAAAGGGCATTTATAGTGGTCTAAATAAAGGAATGTACATATGTAAAAATATTTATATAGGATGGTAGGGAAATAGATCGACGTGCATATATTTATAGGTTTAGTATTAAGGCAGCAGATGGACATTGGACCTCCACTCAAGTACTTCCTCAATTCAAGAACACTTTGTTCTATTAAATTGGCATTCCATGATGCACGTCTGCCTGACACAATCGCTGAAGACAAATGTGTACATAAGCACATGTGGTGTCGAAAGATGATGGTGCCCAGCTATCAAAAGATATAGTGTCTGGGGTCATAAAGGCTTGAAGGCAAATAAGCGGCCATCTAGCTCAGAAGCAACAAAGTCCACTGGAGGAAGCACACCAGCCTGTGTGACCGCATGGTGTCGAAGGGATCAGGTATCAGGCATCAAATAACAAAAATCATATCATTGTAAATGAGGGTGAGTGCAGAGTCGAGACCCAAAGCCTATCTGTAGGCAACTGGACATCCCTTAGAGAAGGGTCGAGGGGAGGAGACTAACCAGTCTGGATGCAGGGTAGCAACGATGAAACAATGTTCCTTGAGTTCTTAAATGCTTCCTCCCTCCCACTATCATGATCGCAATTCTACCTTACAAATCTGGCTAGACCAGAGGATGTATACTGGTACAGATAGGAACTGGAAACTCAGGGAATCCAAGACAGATGATCCCTTCAGGACCAGTGGTGAGAGTGGCTATACCTCGAGCATGGAGGGAAGGTGGGGTAGAAAAGGGGAACCGATTACAAGGATCTACATATAACCTCCTCCCTGGGGGATGGACAACGGAAAAGTGGGTAAAGGTAGTCAGAAAGTGTAAGATATGAGAAAATAATGATAATTTAAAAATTATCAGGGGTTCATGAGGGAGGGGACACTGGGGACGGAGGGGGAAAATGAGGAGCTGTTATCAAGGGCTCAATTACAAAGCAAATGTTTTGAGAATGATGATGGCAAGAAATGTACCGATGTGCTTGACACGATGGATGTATATATGGATTGTGATAAGAGTTGTATGAGCCCCTAATAAAATGATTTAAAAAACAAAAATAATTTTTTTCAAGAGTAAGTTTCAGAATCTCTTTGTGATATCTATTTTGGTCCTTTTTTCCTTTTCCTATCTTTATAATGACCTCCTGGTTTCTTCATGTATGATGTTTTTGATGTCTTCTCACAACTCCTCTGAGCTTTGGCCATTAGTGTTCAATGAGCCCAATATATTCTTGAAAGGACATCTAAATTCAGGTGTGAAAAACTCAAGGTCTTTTTTTTTCAGTTTCAGCTTGAACTTGCCTATAAATAATTGATGGTCTCTTCTGTAGTTAGCCTTGGCCTTGTTATGACACATGGTATTGGGATTGTACACCATCTCCTTTCACAGATGCAATGAATTTGATGCCTGTATATTACATCAGAGGTGGTCCATATGTGTAGTAGACAGTGATATTGTTGAAAAGGTATTTACAATGAATGTGATCAGTTGTGTAATATGCTGTCATACAATTGCTAGCACATTTTTTGAATACTAATTTTTCTTTGTTTTGAACCTTTGCATTTCTTTTTTTAAACTT